AAATATCAAAATGCAACTGCCCGGTCGCCTCCCCCGACCATCGAGTCATTGGTTGTCCTAATGCATGTGGTAGGACCACCCATTAAATGACAACATATATTTTTGTCGCATATTTACTATATTTCTCCTTTGTCTTTTTTAAAACAATCCCCTCAAATGACATATGTTTTTATTATAATAATGAATTACCTTGATATATTACTTTAAACTAAAACTCTATTTTTTTTTTAATAAATTGTTACCATTGATTAAAAGATAAATGATAAAAGTAATAATTTACACATAAATTAAGATTCTGCATGTGATACAGACAAATTTCTCAAAGTTGACACAAGTTAACTATTAGATCGAATCTATTTATAACTTATTCGATTTAATCAGATGCTTTTTCTATTCCAACAAATTCTAATTCAAGATATTTCATGAATAAAACGTGACTAAAAAATCAATCAACAAAACTACATAGTGTCATAGGTAACGTCATTCATATTTTCATTTATTGATTGCACCTCTATTGTAGTGCTGCATTTTTCATAATATCTGGAGCAAAATCTTTTCTATGGCATACTTGAGTGTCAAGATTTTAGTGTTATATTTTCCAAACAATATCCGATAATTAGTTTTCTTAGAATATTTCTTTCTCACTACACCAACAACTATTTTAGGAATGTCCCATATGCCTCTAAGTTGAACCTTTTGCACTACCTTCCATTGTGAACCCAACACTAGAACATTTGTAATTTACTTGTTGTGTTTGGATGTCAAGTATATAGAAGTAACATGTAGCATTTGTAATATACATTGATAGAAGTAAGAAGTAATCTTTCAAAATTCATTTTTGTTCTGGATTATTATTGCACCAATTACATTGGAAGAAAGTGACATGGCAGTTTGTATATCACACAACATCACATAATAAACAAAAAAAGTTAATTTTTTTTTCTCCTAGCATCTTCATTCCATTATTTTGTTTTGTACGAAAATCATCTCAATCTTTAACAAGAAATATTATCCTATTAGCAATATAACCTAAATAGGAAAATACTTTAAAATCCGTTTAAATGAGCTACTGCATACAATTCTTTACTTACAACTGAATCTTTTTGTAATATAAACTTGTTATCAATGCCATTAAAAATCAGTGTTCTAAAAAGCGCGTGGCTTGAGCAAAACACTTTGCCATGGTTGTAAGTGCGAATTAAGCTGTTAGCTAGTCGCGCTTTATTAATTTTATCCCTTTTTTTTAAAAAAAAATCCCTTTTATTTTACTTTAGTTTATTGATTTTTTTTCATTTTTAAAAGGTTTTTATTTGATTTTAATTTCAAATTATTAAATGACTTTATTCGAAATTTTAAAATGACTTATCATTTTGTTAGAAATTTTAAAATTATGTATGAAGTTCCTATAATTCTGTTAAGTAAGACTTGTCTCGTTAAAAGTTGAAATTATGAAACATAGTCAAACTTTTTACATTTTGAATCTTGAAAATTTTATAATAGATTAATTGGAGGAAATATTAAGAAAATACAGTATTTTATAATTTTAGATATTAGATCGTATTATTTTAATTATTCAGTGACTTTTATAATGATTAATTATTTAAAACAATAATAAAAATAAGTATTTTTTTTTTATCCCTAGGCTTGTCTAGCTTGAAGCTTGACCTTCACGTTTAGCCACGCTTTCCGCTTTTATTAAAAACCTTATCAATGTAACTTTGTATATTAATGTTATGTTGTTAATAAATAAATAAGACATGGATTATAACTTGCACATGAAACCATGTAGGAAATACTTCTTGCTTTTGTTCCAAATTGGTTTTGTTATTGCAACAACTCAATGCGCTCACTACAAAAGGAACATGTAGTTAAATACGACAAAACATTAATAATTAATAGCAAAACAATTTAAAAGTTGAATAAAAACTTACTCTAAATATTGTCAAACTTCATCACAATTATTTAGGACATACCAATCAGCTTTATCAATTACCTATTTTGAAAGTAACTTTGTTTGTTCATGGCCTAATAGTCTAGTATTTTGAGAGAAGACTGACAAACTTGCAATAGAAGTATCGCCATCATCGTTTATTATAAACAATATATGCTTCCATATTTACTCCTTAGGTCAGGCTCTATTCTTTGCATTACTCTTATGTCGACCTAATATTATGTCCTCAATCATTACATGAATTATTAGTAATTACCTTTCAATTTACACCAGATACTCCAACTCAAAGAAAATGCCTTTTCTTATTCAGATTAACTCATTTGAAGTTCATTTCCTTTTTCTATCTTTATTATTTGGGTGCTTTCTAGGGTTCCCACACCTCACATCCTTTAAATGTTTTCAAATATCATCTCCTAATAACTTGTTTGGTGGTGGTCATGATTTTTACTTTTTCTTCAAAGATGTTAAATGGCAAGTAACGCTAATGACTCATAAAGCATATTTTATTATATAACCTGTGCGAATAAGTGTTCATATTGCACACTGGACAAGCTTTGTACCACTTAGTACTAAATTGATATGAATATTTAAATTAAGTATCTTGTAAGACATTTTTCGAATATCGAAAAATGCAATAGAAAGTCGTGAAAAGTAAGAAGGCAAGTGCTCTTAGAAAGAAGACGGTGCATAACGACTTAATAGTTTCAATACAGAGACTGCGTCGTTACAACTAAAGATTTAGTAATGATGATGTAACTTGGCTCCTAGTCTCGACTTGGAGACATGTCCCAAACCACTAAGGATCACGTATCACAACTAATCCATGTCCTCGAGGAAACTCATCTAGCCGGATCTCATATATCCTTGGACCATAGCCATTGGCAGCATCGAGTACCCCAACCTTGATATAGGCTCATGGACTAACATCATTACCGTGCAAGGGGTCTTATGTCATCTCGCCTTGCTAAGTCCTACTCCATTACATTTTTTGTATTCTAGCCATATTTAAAGTCCTTGATCTTCAAGAGCCCAATACTATCTATTCGAGAGTCCAAGAAGCACAAAACTTTATGTCTTGGCGGAAACTTTAACAGTGAAGACGGGAAAAATATTGAAGGAGAAAAATATACATATATTTTATATATTAAAAAAAATTCAAAATTTCTACATAAATTTAAAGAAAATTTGAAATGCAGCTGGCCAATCGCCACCCCGACCCTCAGTGGCTCTACCATTGGTGATCCTAATACACGTGGTAGGACCACATATTTTGTCTCATATTTACTATATTTCTCCCTTATCTTTCTTAAGTCACGACATATCTTTTTAGTATAATAATGAATCACCTTCATATATTACTTTGAAGTAAAACTCTATTTTTTTTTAATAAATTGTTATCATTAATTAAAAGATAAAAAAAAGAATAATTGACGTCTAAATTAAGATTTTGCATGTGTAACATACATAAATTTCTCAAATTTGACACAAGTTAATTATTAGATCAAATCTATGTATAACTTATTCGATTTAATCGAATGCTTTTTCCATTCCGATAAAAACCTCTTAAATAACTGTGGGTTATTTGATTGGTGTTAATTATGAAAGTGTGTGCATTCACAAAATGCACACTATGTTCAACTCGTTGCCAGAACAAAATAACAACTTTTCTGCCCCCCAGGGCACATCCAAGTTGGCAGAACAATCACATTGGGGGCTCTGAAATCAAGTGTGGGGAGTTCGATTCTTGGTGGGAACCTTTGATCCAATAAATGAGGAATTATTTGTGGATTAATCACCATGGAGGAGGCTCCCTTTGGGGAAGGAGTAAAAGTAATGTGGGAACCTGGGAACCAATAAGGGCACATCCTGCGATTTACCTCTCTGAGCAGCTGAGGGGCCGGAGGTTCAGGGACGAGAATATAGTTTGGCGCAAGCTGGGACAACTCGTTAAAAAAAAAATAATAATAACAACTTTTCTAAGTGAAATATTATTTAGTGTTGAGATGAATAGTCTGGATTAAAAGCTTTAGTGTACGTACAATCTAAAACACGTGGCTTGATTGCTAGGCTTTCAGACATCCTCTCTCTCCCTCCCTACTTAGTAACTAGGGTTAAGTCTTCTTTAGGGTTATCTTTCATAGGAAATGGTTTGTAATTTCGAGATTTATGTATATTTGAGCTTTTAGTGGAATTTAGTCTCAGTTATTAGAGTTTATTGGTTTCGTTGCGTGAAGTTTGAAGTGTTTTGGATTGATTTATAGCATTCTGTTTCATCTTTAAAGTTTACCGTTGTACTTTGTAATCCAAACTTGATAAAAGTAGATATAGTGCAAATTATGTGCGCGCATCTCAACGGGGATGTAGGTCGTTATAGCCGAACCTTGACAAAATAACTATTGTTTTGTTATTTGTTTTTCCTTTAATTTTTATTCCTTTCTACTATGATTGAGATGCCCTAACTTGAGTATTTTTATTATTTTGAAACAACATTTTATTGAGTACTAAATTTAACTATAGAAACGTCTAATGTTAGTACAATAAACATTTAGTATGCTGTATGTTTGAAGTTTTGCTTTACGTCTAGGTCTTGCATTGTTTTTTAAGTATGTTATACAAATGTTCGAAAATTTATGTATCTATCTAGAGAGGTGAAAGTGTATAAATGAGGGACTGACAATTGACGATTTATAGTTTACTGTTAAACTAAATCATATATTTAGCAATCACGATCATTATGTCAACCATTTTCACAAGACTCTTCAACTCAAAAGAATGTGCCTTTTGACCTAAATATTATTCTTCACATGAAAAGAAACAAGAGAACAAAAATAGTAAAAAATAGAAATACACTTAAAGGAAAAAAACAAAAAGAGAAAGCAAGAAAGGAGAGTTCAATCGTAAGAAATGTTAACGAGTAAGTTAGTTGGCATTAACAGGTAAGTTGCATGTCCATGATGAGTTGACACTAATGCGGGCCAGATTCAGGGGTCCGTCGCACCCACCCCAAGACCCCACCAAAATTACTTCTAGAGAAGAATCCTCTCTTCTCTCTCCCAAATTGCGTGCTGAGTTGAGCCCAATTCACAGAACATTCATCCTTCTCAGACTCCTCAAAAAGTATGACCCAGATCTCTCTCACTGAATTTTCAGCATAAAAACGATAATTAATGGAAAACCCAGTTCAAGCATCTTACAGTATCAGTTCTCACTCATAATTACAACTGGGCCTCAATTCTCTCTTCGATTAATATGAAGTTCATCTTTTTATGGTCTTTCTATGAATTATTATTTTCTTGATAGCATAGAGTTTAATCTTTGTTTCTTTTGTCATGGTAATCGTGGAACCCTTAATTGGACTTGTTTTCAGTATTGCTTATTACAATTTTTTATTTTAGATTAAGGGAAAATATTCCTTTGTTACGGTTTTAGTGACCCATTTGTTTTGTTTCCTTTTTCGCAGTGATAAAGCTGTTGGCTTGATTCGGCTGACTCGCCCGAAAAGGTTTGGGTTTTCGTCTTTATCTTCCGTGACTAGACAACATTAGGATTTGGGGTTTTCTTTTGACTAATGAAATTGGAATTTATTTATTTATTTTTTTTTTATTTTTTTAAATTTGGCATAATAGAAATCTGGGCTTTGATTTCCTTTCTTTCATTTTGTTCCTGTCCAGATTGTGCTAGGGTTCTAATTCAGCTCATCGGGGAAATGTTTCTGGCTTGGATTTCTTGACTAAGCAAATTAGGGTTTATATTCATTTGACCAGTGGATAATTGTTTTTTGTTGTCTGGCTAAGCAAACTTCAGGTGTTGACCTCTTTTTTTAGGAGCAATGTGGGGTTTCATTCGGTCGAGTATAAATCAGGAAATTGAGGGCCTTGAACATTAGGGTGGGTATACAGACATAAGAATCCTTTTATATTGGGTCTGAGCAATTTCCGATGGCAGACGAGACACCAAGTATAGTGAATCTTGATCTCAATTTGGGACCTCTTGATAATTTCAATAATCATAGTGAGTCTGGCTCAGGATCTTATCCTCATGTCCCTATAAACTTGGAGGATTGGTTAGATGGTCCAGTTACTAGGCTTAGGGAAGCTGTCAGGCAGAGGAGTCGACGTTTGCGGTCATTGTTGAGGCAAGTTCCAATTCCCCCTGAAACTAGAAACCTTGCCTTGGAATTAATTGGCGGGAGTGGTTTGCAGACCGGTGAGGGTAGTGTTGCTGCTGAGGAAAGATCTGCAGAGGCTGCCAAAATGTGCGAGAATGGCAGTGGTTATTTTGAAGGTGAGGATCTTCGAAAAAAGGAGGATGATGAAAAATATAACAGTAATGGAGGGAGCTTTTTTGACTGCAATATATGCTTGGACTTGGCCAAGGACCCTGTTGTAACCTGCTGCGGTCACTTGTTTTGCTGGCCGTGTCTTTACCGATGGTTACATCATCACTCAGATGCCAAGGAGTGTCCTGTTTGTAAGGGAGAAGTTACACTTAAGACTGTGACCCCAATTTATGGTCGTGCTAACAATAAAAGGGAGCCAGAGGTGGATTCTAGTCTGAAGATTCCTCTCAGGCCCCAAGCACGGCGCATTGAGAGCTGGAGAGAAACTATTCAGCGCACTGCATTCACCATTCCAATGGAGGAAATGATTCGGCGTCTTGGAAGTACTTTTGATTTGAGTCGAGAATTGGTCCAGATCCAGTCTCAAAATCCTAATGGTCATCGTGAATCACCTGAGAGAAGTAACTCATTACTCAATCGGATACTGACTTCTAGAGGAATGCGTAGAGAACGAACTCCAGCATTGCCACCTGTCAGTGTGGTTGACCTAACGGAAAGCAGCCCAACTAACCCTGAGCTGGCGCAAAACCACCGGTTTTCGTCACTTTTACTTAGTAGGTCAAATGCTGCTATCTTATCCAACCTTACATCGTCATTAAACTCTGATGAAAGTCTAGCTGCTGAAAGGCCTGTTGAATCTTATTTCCTTAACAATGCCTTGGAAAGAATTCACGAACTGCCTCCACCAGTTGATGATAGGGATTCTGTTTCAAGCATTGCTGCTGTTATACACTCAGGGAGTCAAACGATAGATAATGCCGTTGAGATTGATTCCAGAGTGTCACTTTCTACTTCATCTTCGAGAAGAAGAAATGATACTTCAAGAATTTCAGATGTGGATAGTGAAGATTCACGCGCACCTAGGAGGAGAAGACTAAACTGATACTAGAGCTTATTTTCTGTCCTCAGAATATAATATTTCTGAGCTTGTAGGTACAAATTACCTTTTTCTGGCCATTTGTACAATGTAAAAGTTCAACTTTGACACAGTGATAATATCTGCAAACTTTGGATTCTTGTTCCGTAGAATTATCATCGTCTTTTTGTTTCCCTTCCTTTAAATGTTTTGCAATCTATGTTTCATCTCAACACCCCATTCAGGTATCTCCATAAATGATACTTACGGCAACCAAGGCTGGTTTATTTGTTGCAAATGCACATAATCATGCAAATTTCAATTAGAATAGTATTGAAATGGATGTGAAAACTAAAAACCTTGATAACGATATTGTGGCCACATGCTAGGTTTTTTACCTGTATACTTTTGTTGGCTCATAGTTAAATGTTTTTATCGAATTGTAGATTTCTGTGTGCATTTAGAATCATGTCGGTGTTTTTTGTGCACACTACTAATAAAAGCATTGATGGGTGTACTCATTGGTTGATGAAATCTTAGGAATTCTTTTCTTGTTTACTGAGGATGGCTGTGGAATTTATAAATGTCCGGTTAGTTTTCTGTTTTCTTTACTTAATGCCTGCAACAGCTTCCTAAAGCTCAGATACTCTTCTACTAGCTGGATTAATTGTGTGGATGTACTATTCAAAATTCTCATGAGTCTCTGTGTTGCCATCTACGTCAAGTAACTTATTAAATAGTCATGTGTGATCAATTCAAAACTAGCATTTGTAAACCTCTTTTAGTCATGTGTGTAATTGTCTATCAGATTGAAAAAGAAAAAGTTTGTTTGAAGTTATGGATTCTGAATCTATTTGATTATAAACTTGGTAAATTTGGAAGTAGGTTAGTGGAAGAAACGAAAATTTTCAGATTAAGGTATGTGTTCAGAATTTAATTTGCAAGGCTAGGTACACGTGGAATTTAATTTTTAAAGAAAAAAGACTTGATGACTATGTTGGCTGAAGGATCTATCAGCTTCATCCTTGAGTATACAACATTGTATTTTGATTATAACGCAAACAATTCAAAATAAAATATTTAAAGCAATCAAAAGAACATACCTTGGTCCAAGTCAACATTCACCATCGAAATTTCACAACTGATCATAAGTATATATCAATTTGTATTTTGGATATTTACCGTTGGAACTATTTTCCCGTCTCTCCTTAATTGTAGTTAATTAGAAAACAAGCAATCTAACTAATCCTAATTATTAAAAAACCCAAGATAAGTGTTATAGATTTAATCTAGTAACATCCTTAATAACTTCAGAGACCGATGAAGTTAAACAACACAAACGCAAGTGGTTGTATTTAATTTAGTCAAACATTCTTTCTAGGTTTTAACAATTTCTGACGTATCAAATTATTAAACCCTACTTGCTTCACAAATTAAAGGGGTCAAACAATTACGAATTTGATGTTTAACTTAGCAGTAGATTGCATCAAATAATAAACTAGTAGGCTTCCTAGCGATTAAATGCAAAAATCATGAAAATAAGTGTAGAAGAACATTCAATATCCAAAATATGAATTACACTATGAAAATAAATTAGATCTCACAGTTGGAATGGTTGCAAGGCTTCAATATCCTTCGACCAAGTACAAGAATTTAGTTACACATGATAATTCTAAGAACAAAATAGATAAGAGGGAAATTGGGGAGGGGGATGTTCTTCTTCTTTCTGGGACGATTTAGGGTTTATAAAGTCATTCATGATTTGTTTCCATAAGAGTTTTAATCAAATAAGGAAACCTGAGATTCGACCAAAATCTTGTGCTATGTGGTCACATAGTACATTGGGATGCTACCGCATGGATCACTTGTTGAACTCCATAATTTTCTCTGCAGAGTTGAATGCGACCACATGCTTTTTGAACCATGTGACCGCATAGTTCAAGTGTGTTCTTCCCTGGATAGTTTTTAATAATTTGGTTATAACTTTCTTTCCCGATATTCAATTGGACAATTCAATGTGTATTGGAAAGATAACGCAATGAGATACAATTTTACAAAAAATAGATATTTTTCAATTTGAACGTTTATTATGCCAAAAATGGTTCTAAAATAGAGACTAAAAATTTGAAGCATAACTTTTTCACCTGAAAGTTGATATGTGATAATATTTCGACTATATTTCATCCCTTTGACTTCTTTCCTCATCCGATTGACTCCTAACATTCTTGAATCTTCATCATAAGGTTCGACAAAACTTTTTAATATATGCACCTTAGTCCTTAAACTTTGATTTTGATTCATTTCAGCCATTTTCTCTTGTAATCTTGTTCTTTTATCTTCAATTTGTATCCAATTAAGGTCTTGGCATTTCGATATTCATTTCATCGCTTGTCTTATCTATGGATTATTTACAACTTGGTCCCCGAACATTTATTTTCTTTCACTCTAGTCTTTTTTTGCTCGTTTCTTCCAATTTCCACTGTATTCGTCCATTTGCAACCTAAATCAAAATATAAGAGTACTAGTACATTTAGGCATCAATTAATCATGAAAACATAAGTATTAATGGATGAAAAATATAATATTCTACGTCCTTATCTC